ACGGCGACAACGGCGACAGCCGCTACAATGGCGACAGCCGCTACAATGGCGACAAGAGCGACAAACGCAACAGTCGCAGCAGACGCGTTGCGTGCAACAGTTGTGCTCTAGGTCATCGGTGCACAGTGCATGCCGGGTTCCGGGGCTCACCTACCACGCCTACTGTACATATATTTTGGAGCTGTAGCATTTTCGTTATTGGGCTACCTCTGCAAGCCCGCCGGCTTTCCTCAGAGCCGGAAAAGGGCGGGCCCCCCCTGCATATATCCGTACAGGCCGGTGCTAGGGCGGCATGTGTGATAATTGATGGGTAGTGCCAACGTGGTGAGAGCTGTGCTTGTTGCAGCAGTGCTGATGCGGTGGGAGCTATGCTTGTCAGAGCACGGGAGGCAGGATGCTGGGGCTCATAACCTTTTGAAGAGACGGTGTCTCCCTGGAACCTAGCAGACATGGTGAAGAGTCATTGGCTGTTACACGTAGTCGGGAGGTCCACGACCTGCCACCGACAGCCCCTTGCTTGGGCGTAAGTGTATGAGCCTGAGGTGCCGTTACCGGCACACAGCAGGGGCTCGGCCGCCAAGTCCGCTCAGCAGACACAATCGCAGCTTGCCAGCCTTCAGCCTGTTGGCTTTGCGGTCTGGTGCTGCAGCCCGAACACACACGGAAGACAGTGCCGTACAGCATGAAGGCAGTGCCCATACGATGCTTGTTGGCTACAGGCGAGATACCTTGCAATAGAGAATGCAATATATTACCAATAACGCGTTTCAGCCGGGCGAGGTATTATGTTTGGTCCGTTACACACACACACACACACGGCCACACGGACATGGGCAATCCTACAGGGCGGGGCCCCCCTGGGCGCTTCACGCTGGGGCCCCGCCCAAAACCTGGGTCAAGGGGTGGCTGGCTGCTGCGTGGGTAGCTGGCTGTCAAAGGGACTCACGCAGAGGGTCTAGCGAGCAAGTGACCGAGGATGGAAACCCACCCGCTATCTAGCTGGCCTCTGGCTTCTCTCTTTTAAAGTACCAAATCTATTTCAGCT